CTGTGCTTGCCTATACCGAGGCGTTTGGTGGAGGTGACTGAGATACAGATGGGCGTGGTCCAATATGGGTTCACTGTGCTTGCCTATACCGAGGCGTTTGGTGGAGGTGACTGAGATACAGATGGGCGTGGTCCAATATGGGTTCACTGTGCTTGCCTATACCGAGGCGTTTGGTGGAGGTGACTGAGATACAGATGGGCGTGGTCCAATATGGGTTCCCTGTGCTTGCCTATACTGAGGCGTTTGGTGGAGATGCCTGAAATACAGATATGTGTGATTCCATATGTCTATGGGTACCCTGTGCTTACAATGAGGTTTGTTCCAGCAGGAACCAGCAATCCATCCATGACTTGATCCTTCTGCGATATACGCAATGTTCCTGTTGCTGATGGGTACATGCGAAGAGTTTCTTTCAATGTCTGAAAGATATGGACAATTAATAATTCTGAACATTGTRCTCCATACATCAAATTACATGGTATTACCACTTTACTTCTCTACTGGTTCAGTTAATTTTTATCGTCCCTCCCATTATACAGATTGAGTGCCACTATGCTACATTAATGTGTGCATGTGTCGTTGTATATGACGATCTTTACCTCTCCAATGTGATGCATTTTGGCCAAGTCATCAAAATGAACACTTTCTCGGTCACCAAGCACTTCAAACACTTCTTGCTCAAGTCTGAGAAATTGATTGAAGTCAAAGAGGAAGAAAATTAAATATATAAATGCTCTTATTCTAGCATCTTTTTGAAAATTCGGCTCTCTTGATAAGCATGGTACTGTGATCTGTAGTCCATGGTGAAGATAATATTATCTTTGTTTTCATTGTTTCGTATTTTGTTTTGTTTTTGTTTTGTTGCACTAAATGTAATGTGTAGTATTATTTATATTTATTATATTGAAATAAAAAATTAAAAAAAATATAATATATATATTGCTCACAGTTTGGAAAACGTTAGATTTCTTTCTGCAGCGAGGTACATTCTGCATTGATTCTTTTTGATAATCTACAAACCTTTTTGTGATGTCTTCATGATCAGGATCACAGAGTTCCATGAGACAAAATGCTAGTTTGTTYGCAGTGGTTTCATGACCTTTGAAAGTGTAAAACAGCAAATAATTCATTAACTATTTATAATGGATGCTGTGTAGCATACATCTTGACAAGTAACTCACATAATTGCTAGCTGTACTCAATCATGGCAAATCTTACCAGCAATGAAAAATGTCACAAACTCATCCAGCAAATCTTCAATGTCAGCACTTGGATCCTCTTCTGTAAAGTGGACATAAAAAAAACAAAGAATGAATTGGTATACAGAATCTGCTTTAATACGGAGGGACTCGCAACCTAAGAGGCTAACCAAATCCATGCCTTCCATTCATTCAGGAATAAGTACAAACCTACAATAGCTAAAGCACGTTGAAGAATATCATTAGGYACTTGCTCTCCACGATTGATTGCAAGTTGACGTTTTTCAATTATTCTCTTCCCTGTCTCTCTGATTGACTTGATGGCRTCTTTGGTCTTTTTGACTCCTTCCCATTTACTTGGATTTAGCTACAAAATATATATTAATACATTTGAATGTTATACACATATGAATAGACTTGAATCATATGTAAGACAATCATACACTGAACACAGTAGTCTGTTAAAAGAGACTATGAACAGAGTGACTTCATTTGATCCAACATGAAAAATGACTTCAATACAACAAAGTATAATATAATAGTCTCCTTCACAGCTCCATGTGTAGCCTGTGTTACATCCAGAATTCSGGATGTAACACAGGCTACTCGCTGTGCCATCATCAAAGGTAGCCGTGTATTTGCATGGAAGCAACGGAGATGCGTGTTGAGCGTGCAATGATAGATATCTATGAATTTTATGACATTAGGTGCGAAAGAAGGTTTCTATCATGGAATGCTTATTGGTCATGTCACTTCGATGCAAGGCACAGCTAYCTTTCAAGATGATGACTGGAACCRTGGAGGAGATTATTGAMAAATTWGTCAAAYTGAAGAAGTTTTGTATTAGATGAGCTTAGTTTTTAATTGTTAAATGGCTCTACTACAGTAAGGATATTATAAAAGTCAACAATCATAGGCGGAAATAAAAATGAAATTGTGAAGGTCTATCTTAATTGGATACATTTTTCTGGAGGTGAATAAACTAAAAGAGAAAAAGACAGAAATTATTATCATTATTGCAGTGTTTTTCATACCCAATAAAAGCCACCAGGTGCTTCAAAAGATGCTTGCTGCATTCCAGCMAGCATTGTTCCTACATCTTTAGTGAACTGACAGTTTTCATCATTGATGACATCCAAGTCACTAGCGAATGCAACCTTAGTAAAAGAATAAAATGAATAAATAAAATAAAGTTGTTTATTATGTTTATCATTGTGCATGAYAGGTCACACAGTTCAACTTTTGGGTTCCCTGTGTTTGTTACAACACAGGAAACCCAAATTAAAGGAAAAGTGGCAGGTTGCCTGTGGAGAAGGCTTGTAAGACCCAACTAATGCTTCACAAGGTATAATATATTTATTATAAAAGTACAAAATGGCATCTTCTGTATCTTTGTTCTCTGGTGTGAACTCAGTTATATCAGATGAGAGACAAAAAGGATTATTATTTTATACCCAATTATTGTAATCAGGGCTGCTATTTTTCAAATAAATTGATGAGCCAAATAATACAAAAGAGCATCATGACCATAGTTTAAGTAACATAATGACATGCCAAAAATTTGCCAAACACCGATTGGATGGGCTGCCCGTGTTCTGACCTTAGAAATGACATCTAAYGTTGCTCTTGCAAACTCTTCAACCATTACTACTTCAGTCTTTCCATCAGCCTTCTGAAGAAGCTTGTTAATGAACAGATCTGTGCTGGTATTGAAATCCTCCATCATGTCCTTCAGAGAACTATTCATACAAGACAGAGATGTTTTAATTSTTATAATTTCAAACTTTCATCAAGTGTGCAATGGTAAAAACTAACATAATAGTTTATGTAACTTATTATGACTAGTGGCTTTGCTGTCAGTTTAAAACAATGTCTTTTGGCTTCCAACAATCAAAACTCAGATTGTTTCTGAGTTTGAGGCAAGTTACAGTTGTAGCTAGATGGTCTTACAAAGCAATAGGCYCGGTTCTGCCACTGTTTTTTTATAGTTAAAACTACCACCATGTATCCTGAGTTTGCTTTAATACTTAAGTCCTTTGAAGTGATAGTGCCCCTTACTTTGCCCAAATATGTTCACTAATGGATGTGCAATGCCTTTGCACCCAGACCCTCATGGTAAAAACACAGTTTAAATTAGGAAATACTTACGAGCGATGAAAAGCAGGGTTRAAAATCTTCCTTCTCTTTGCCCATTTCTGATGGTTTGTTTGAGTGGCCAGACCGCCTCCCAATGTCCTGACAGATAATACAACACATGAATACCACATTATTAAAACTACTTCACAGGTGTTGCTACAGCTATTTTCCTTTTTATAGGTTTGGGATTCCTGTTTTCTGATATCACCATAAAAGGTTACATGAATATGTCATGGGCCCAAGGCCACCGCTCAGCCAAGAGGATACAACAGGTATCCCAAAGCATCCAGAGGAGGGCTATTAATAGATTATTAAAATAGACATGATTACCTTTCT